TGCCTCCGGATACTGCAAATTTGTATTACTAAAGATAGAATGGGCTAACTAGTAAATATATAGAAATGTTCAGTGTTTTCTTTTTTTTCTTTCATGCTCACAGTATATGTCCAGCATGGTCTGTGTATGTGAGGGGGCAAAGAGTGGTCTGGTCCTTGTAGTCACTCAGGACCCCAGGCTAATAGAGCGCTACCATCTTGAGGCACAGATGTTTCAACCTGTAGCTTCAGGATACTGGTACAGGGCAGAAATCGGAGACTTAGCTGAGGCTTTTCCTCTCTCATCTGGAAGTGAGGCACATCACTCCCACTCAGATTTCATTGGCCAGAGTGAGTCCGTGTCTCTGCCTAGCTATAACAGAAGCTAGAAGAGGAGTCTCCCATATGTCCAGGAAGAAAAAGAGAACTAGAAGTTGGTGAATAACAGTTATGTCTCTACATGCAGTGCAGATGTGTTGCATTTGAATCCCCATAAGCATCATAAATTATAATAATAATGTCAATAATCAATAATAAGGTCACTATAAATCAGCATGTGTGACACTATTTATGAATAATTTATTATGTGCTAGGCACGGACTATCCTATTTTATATATATCACATCAACTGGTGCTAAAATAGCCGATGAGGTGGTCCCGTTATTTATTTAGCTAGCATAAACCTCTAGCCAGTCTGAGGCAGGATTTGAACCGAGTCCCATCTGACTCCAGTGCACTCAGACCCAACCCATGTGTATTACTCCTGGATAACAATAACAGTCCCCTCTCATTCCTTCAAAGCTCTCTCTGATTACACACTGCCTTTCATGGGACACTGTAGCTATTTAAATCAGATGTTACCAGGGATGGAGTTCAATCTCTGTAGGGCCTTCTGTAGGGTACTAGAATAAGTCCGGGACTATAGCCAGTTAGGACTTTGTAAGGTCAGGTCCCTGAAAACAGCATTAGTTACACACACACACACACACACACACACACACACACACACACACACACAATCCCCCCAACCCTCAGCATGAAGTTTTAGCTACTGATTTATTCTCATTTCCCCTTCTGTCCTGCTGAGAGAGATGGGGACCTGGTTTTCATCACCGGTTAGGACAGCCCATCATCTGTGGACACACTACAAGGAAAATGTAAGTTGGAAATGTTTAGCAAGATGTATTCTTGTTCCTTCCCTTGGCTACCTGGAAGCTCAAAGATAAACTTAGGTGCAGTGAACATCTTTCCATCTGGCCCTCTGCTTCTGTTACAATTTCCTCCCATTTCCAGTATATACGATTCATGTTCTCCAGTCGTTTTTAGTTTTAAGATCAGGCAAACCCCCTAAACCATTTCTTTTTTTTAATAGGCAGAGCATACATTACAAATAAAGGACATCTGATGGTTTTCATACACACATGTATATATAGGTGTATATATATATATATATATATATATATATACACATATATATATATACACACACACACACACACACACACACACACACACATATATATATATATATTAACTAGCCATGAAATAGACACAAAAGTAGACATAAAAAGCATCAAAATCATTTTCAATACGGATCAAAATGTCACTGAATGGATGCTGACAATGGAGTGAAATGGCTTTTATGCAAATGCTAGCTCCATCTATACCTGCTCCATGATACTTAGCTGTTTATCTGCTCTCTGCCTTGGCATGCTCATCTGCAAAAGGAAAGAAAAGCATCTCTACCTGGGAGAGTGGTTATGAGGATTCATTAAGTCCAACCGCATAACCCAATGAACATGCTTTCCTACAACGCCTCACACACAGACCCTTGGCGTAAGTGGTGGTTGGTGATGACTCTGTGCTAGAGAAAGGTGTGTAAAACTCACGTGACTCCAGCAGGGGGTTAGGGAAGAGAAACTATAGCATCCCTGGGGCTGCAGTGGTAGAGGGTGAGATCGAGGATAGATTTTTACGTATATTAAACAGAACGTACATTTTAATCTCTAAAAGGTCGGAGCAGGATTCACATTGTAGAAACTATAAACATCTCATTTCCCATGAGGCTACACCTTTAGGCTATTTAGCTGCCCAGCATCTATTTGGGGAACAAAATGTATGTTGAACTATGAAGAAAAACAATGTCAAAAGACACATGCTCTGCTTTTTATCGCTGTCTCTACAGCACATTCGTATTCTGAATGAAAAAGCAGAAAGGAAATCCAGTCTGGCAGCCCATGCCCTTTCCCAGAAGGATGACTCACCTCCTCAATGAATGTCCTGGGGAGACATGTTTATGAGGATGGCATCCTCTGAGAGCCTCTGGGTGTGCATGTTTTATGCTATACACGCATTGTGCTCCGTGCAGATAAACTGAAGCAGGTTCGTTTTGAATGCACAATCTTGTAAAATTTTCTAAAAGCAGGTATGATGTACATATCATGTGTGTGTGTGTGTGTGTGTGTGTGTGTGTGTATCAATGGATATGTTGTGGGCTGGTAACCTAGCCAGAATTCCAGAAAATAGACTGTGGCCACAGCCCACACTGCCTCTTGCTCAATAGAGAAGAACCCAACACCCTCTAGAGCCATGGAAGGACCTCCAACTAGTGGCTCCCCTTAGAAGTTGCTCCTGTGAAGGGGGCCAGCACTCCTCTCTCTCCATGTTCATGGAGTGACCACAACATGTCCTTGTGTTGTCACCTCTCACTACTGGGTCCCACCTTTCTCTAACCAAAGCCACCTTCTATACAACTCTCCCAGTGCCTCTCCTCCCTTCTAGAATGAATGTCACCTTCATGCTAGCCCATCACAATCGTTCCTCTCCTTTAAAGCCCAGTTGAAATGTTTTTTTCATATCTATATTCAGTCAAGGAATAAGTATTGATTACCTGGGTGCTGAGGCCACGGCAGTGAAAAAGATGTTTTCCTCCCTCTCTCTTGGAGCTTAGATTTTAGTGGGGGAACAGAGAATTAAGGAATGGCAGTATTTTAGGTACTAGTTGGGGCAGCATCACCAGGCTTCTGCATGAGATAAAAGAAACTTTACCTCCAGGAGGAAATTATTCATCCTTCCCCTATATATCTACCCATCACTCTGAGGTGGCACCAACCCAAGTGCCTTGAACAAAACACCAGTTCAGGTCAATGTCAGTGGGGATTACTGGGGCAAAAGGAACTCTGTGGCCAAGTACCTCAGAGGAAAGTGGGGCTAAACAAAATTTGGAAACCTAACCTCATTAACAGATTATGTATCTGTGAGAGGAGGTATCAAATGCATTTGATATTAGCATCCTCCCACAGGGCACTTCACAGGCCTCAGGTTGCTTGGAATGCACTCTGGGGAATACTGTACATCCCCCTCCACAATATTAAGTCTTTAAAGACAGGTATGACATCCAATCATTGTGTCCAGCACATAACACAGCTCATGCCATGTAACAGGCACAAAGAAATAAGCCCTTTTGTTGCTAACAGCTTATTGTCTTGGGAAAATCTAGAGGCCTGTTTCAAATCCCTCACTGATGAGATGGGTGGGATAAGAGTGGTTGCCTACTGGGGATAACCACTTACATTTATTTTTTTTCTTTGTAAGAGAAAAAAATTAATGACGCTTGCTTCCATCCTCCATCCCCTCAAAATACCCTGGGGAGAAACCTCTAAGAACTTTCCCCAAAGCATGTGTTTAACCTGGCAGTTATGGCACACCCTTTGTGGAGGACTTTAGCTAATATTTCCAAGAAAGTTGCAGGATGGAACTTAGAAATTACAACACATGTGGCTATTTAAATTACCTAAAAGTAAATAAAAATTTAAATTTAGTTGCTCAGTCACACAAGCCACATTTCCAGTGCTCAACAGCCACATTTGGTTAGTGGCCACTGTATCAGGGAGCCCAAACAAGAGAGCATTTGCATCACTGCAGGAAGTTCTATTGGGCAGCGCTGCTAGAAGTACAGTCCTCCAGCATCAGATCTGAAGTCACTCCGTGACATCATGCATTCTGTTCTGGCTTCCACTGAAGACCTCAAGCAATGACCAATGCCCACCCCCTCCTCCCAACAAGAGTATTGTGTGGCCAACTTAAGACAGCCTGCCACAAGACAAATGTGAAATCAGAGTTTAGCAGCAAATGGACAGCATCCTTCTCAAGGGGTCTATCTGTCTGTCTCTCTGCCCATCCGGTGGTATTTATTATCCCAGGTACACCAGGAGGGGCTGCATGCCAGAGTATAATTCCTCTGAGCAGAGCACAGATGGCCGACATGTAATGAAATGGGTTGGACAAGGCACCAAGCCAGGTAAATGGTGGCGTCTGTATTTGGGGAGGGATGTATTTCCACCTCCCCTCACCCATCTATGAAAGGAGGAGTTTAACCAGGGTTGAGCTGTGAGTTCCCGGTGGGCAGCCCCAAGGCCAAGGCGAGGACTTGGAGGGTAATTCCCTGTAGAGTCTGTGCATCTTCCACAGACACTGAGCTTCCTCCGTGCACTGGAAAATCTTAAGCCAATTTCACAACTAATTCACAAGCTAATCGAGACCAGACTGCGCCTCTCTGTACGACACAGTCATGCCATTACGTACATCCTAGGCCGAACCTTCATCTAGATTACAAATTTCCCAGCACAGTTGAGACTGGTAATTAAACCTACTTGATTGTTCCATTACACTGCAATTACATGACAGTAAAGGCACCAAACATCACTAATCTTTAGCTCATTTCTAAATGTGCACGGAAATGAGAACCAACGATGGGATAAAATACGTGACTGATGCATGCCCACTGGTTTTTGTCAGTTTTTGGCAGGCCGGGCTCATGGAAACTCAGAGATTTAAGGCACTTTAATAGGCAACATATATCTGTGCTATTGTTTTTTTTTGTTTTTTTTTTAAGATTTTTTTTTTTTTATTGGGGAATTAGGGGGATAGGAACAGTGCTGGGGTATTGGGGTAAGGGGAACAGACAAGTTGCTGTCGTTTTGTTCTTCAATCTAGTTGTGGAGGATGTCGCTTCACTGGCCCAAGTTGGCACCATCATCGTGCTCTTCTCTGGTATCTGTGCTATTGTTACACAGTGAAGATTAATGCATGGATGAAAAACACCATGAATAAACTTTGAAGAATCACATTTTGCGGCGCCCCAAAATAAAGTCCCAGCAATTTACATTTTTGCAATCCAGGGCAGTTCTAGGAGCATGTTGCCCGTAACCTCTGTCTAACCTTTCGTTCCCAGTCCACATCTACTGCCAGTGATCAAGGGCTGTCTCAGGTCACCGACTTCCTGGCTGAAGTGCCTATCTAGACTTCCTGGGCTTGGCTGATTTCCATTCTTTGATTTTATGTTTTCAGGTTCAAGTTCCACTCTCCCCCACTTCCAAGTGTAGACTATATCAGAATCACCAATTAGAATCAAGGGTCTGGCTGCAAATGCACACGCTTGGGCCCATCTGCAGCAGTATCCCTGAGGCTGCAGCCCAAGAACCTACATGTGTAATCAGCCCCCAGGAGATTCTCATGTAAACTAAAGTCACTCACCACCATATTTGACACTAAATCTCTCTAGAGCGAGAATCAAATGTCACATACCTCTGTATTTCCAGCATCCAGCTCCGTGTCTCGTGCCAAGAATGAGCATCAATGAGAACGTGCTGACCTGAACTCGCGAGCTCTTTCATTTGTAATGGGTCTTAAAAAAAAAAATAGCAAAGACCACATTATGCAGGGCTCTGTCCACTCCAGCCCACTTTCTACTTTCTACAAAACACGTCATTTACCTCCCCTGGAGCCTCTCCTGAGATTAGCCTACCCGAGTTGCCAATTCCCAAGACCAGAAAGTGAGATTGTTCCAATGCTATATAGGGATGGTGCCTCCTGGCACTGGTGGCCACCATCTGCCCTTCTCTTTGGAGCAGGGAGGTGACCTTATCTTCTCAACATCAAATGTCTCTTTTTGGAGCACTTAAACCAGAGTCTAATCTTTATGACAGCATCACCTAGAAGCTTACTGAGAGATGCATGTTCCTGGATAAACTTCTACCCTGAGGGAAATACCTGCAGGGTAGAATTTGGGGCAATGAGTTGTCCAAGCAGCCCCGGAATGATTTTGATGCTGAGGACGCTGATCCGTTTGTACAGATATTCTTGTTTAAGCCTAGTCCTCAAAGAACACCCTCATCTTCCTGTCCTCAAAAAGGGGGGAAGGCTATGGCCCCTTAGCTCCCTCTGATTTGGCAGGGGAGGAAGGGGGAATGAGTGGAGGATGAATGCCCAGAAATTATAAGCATTATACTCTGATGGATATGTGAGACTTAATCTGAAGGCCCTCCCCTGAGACTGCCCTCCAAGAGTTTAGAGACCTTCCTGCAAATTGAGGAAGGAATGAAGGAAACACATTTCTTCAGGATGGTTTTCTTGGGAAAATAATTAATGCTAAATGCTAAGCGAAGCCTATTATCTATCTAATCCTCTTTCTACAGCCTACCCAGGCCCCACTGCCTCCTCCCAGGCAGAATTGCTTGCCTGCTGCTCCTGTTCCCCAGGGCATTTAGCCCCTCTCCTGGATTAGAGAATTTATCTGGCACTACAGCCAATTGTTTGTCTTGGGTCTTTTCCCCAGACATCCTTTGTTCCTGAAAGCTGGTTGGTATTTTATCTCTGCAGCACCCAGGCCTGGCCATGAGGTTGTTCAAATAAAGGTTCCAGGTGGGTGGGCTGCAGATAAGGTCCACCCAGGCCCCTGGGACAGCTTCTTGGAGAGAATTGCACGTGGAGGTGTTGGCTTTGCAGGCTGGCCTGAACCTTTTTATAGCTTTGCTTCTCTTCAACACATTTTCCAGAATTATGTCACTACCAACAATTCTGTGTGCAAAAGCTACAGAGACAAGTCATTTCTCCTAAAGACACTGCCTGTTAACCTTGAAGCCTGTGTTGTTTTGCAGGTTTGGTGATATACACACACACATACATGTATGTATATACCATATATACATATATATACTTGTGTGTGTGTGTGTGTGTGTGTGTGTGTATTCCTTGAGCCCAGACTTTTGGAAGAGTTCCCTGATTGGCTTCTGTCTCTCCCCACTTCCAAACCATCTTCCACTTGCACTCCACAGACATCTTCCGGGAAACACAGACCTTTAGGAAGAAGGACAACCTCCATGTGGCTGTAGCTTCCAAAGCCTTTTTACCTCTTTCCAGGGCTCTACTCTGCAAAATGCCTTTTTTTTGTTCCAGCCTTTTTTTGTACCTACCCCTCTGAACAAGACTTCACCAAAGTGTGGCCTCTGCTGTTCTCTCTAGCCAGAATGCCATCTTCCCCATTTTGGCCCCATTGAAATCCCACCTATCCTTCAAAACCTACCAGAGTGCCAGCTACAGCTAAGCGAATAGGATCAACAGCTGGCTCCACCGTTTACCTGCTGTGTGACCACAGGCAAAGCACTCAACCACTCTGAGCCTCAGTTTACTCAACTTCCAATCTAGGATTCAATCAAAGGCTGTCCGAAAGAAGAGAAACTAAAATCCCCAGACAATTTTTAGCCCCCAGTTCAATCTACTGAACCACTCTCCCTTCCCTTCTCAGAGCTGAGAATACACTTTTCATTACTAGAGCTAGCAGTCATGTTTATTGTCACCCCCAATAGATTAAGGGGCCTTAGGGGTCAAGGGGCCACATTCTAGACATGCCAGCACATAGTAAGTATACAATGGATATTGGATGTGGGGTTAATTTATCTCCCCATTCATAATCAGATCCACACAATTCACAGGTCAGTTGTTTCTGAGAGGTGATGTCGAAATAAATGAACTCTGGGGTCAGAATGATCAAACCTTGAATCCTAGCTGTGTGCACTTAAGCAAGACATTTATTATTTCCTAATCTGGGAAGTGAGGATGGTAATAACCTTTATGGAAATAACCCTGCTTCATGGGGTTGCTCAGAGGATGAAGCACACCAATGTGGTTAATAATAGGACATCATCAAGCTTTTGGTTTGGGCTCTCCCAACCTTGGCAGACTCACCCGGTGACTATCTGAGCTCAGTGGCCCAACTGTCCCACAACCCAGGGCCACACTGTAAATTCCACGGGCCATAGTCAATTTTGGTCTTACGAACCCCTTCCTCCATAAAATAATAATAAAATGAATTCTAGTTTATGACTGCATTGGTATAAAGATGAATATAATCTAGGCTGGATTTATTATTATATAGTACTTACTATTATGTTCATTTTCTTCTGGTTTTAAAAGAAACTAAAGTTAAAACATCTTTGTGGGCCTCTAAGATTATTGTGGGCCTCAGGCATTGCACCACCTGTGCGTGATGGAGAAGTCAGACAGCCCTCAGGCCTCTGAAATCGGACCTCCTACGTGGTAGGCTCCAACCAGGCTCCCTCTCACTGGCTCTTGTCCTGCCACTTCTGGGGTCTTTGCACACCACTGAGTCTTTATACGAACTTGTCCTTCTTACTAGAACGCTCTCCCCTGTCCCTTTCCCTTTTTTAACTTTCCACACATGCCTTAGAGCGGCAGCTCTCTGAGCATCGGAATTCCCTTACAGCACAGGTCGCTGGGTTTACCCGGGTTTCTGATCCAGCAGCTCTGGGGTGCTATATTTTAACAGCACCTAGGTCCTGAACCACACTTGGAGGACAGCTGCTTTCGAGGTCCACTCTGTTTCCATTCTCTCTTGTAAGCTTTCTCTGATCTGCTTGAGTTACTGTTCTCCCTCTCTAAGGACTAGAGGCCCCTGCTTTATCTATGTAATGTTTTGATGTCTCTCTCTTTCTCTCTCCTAGTTGACATGTCTTTTCGCTTTCTGTGGGATCTGCACCCAGCTCATAATAGGCGCTCAGTAAACACGTGATGACTGTTGTTCAGAAAAGTTAAGCCAACTTAACCTTCTAGAAACCATGAATGCGAGTGGCAGAATCCTCTTAACTCACCAGCACTGCATCTTCTTTTCTTTTTTTCTCTCTCCTCTTTTCTACAGTTGTCAACTTCAGAATTCCCCATATGCCTCACATTCTTGAGGCAGCGCAGATTACTGGCCAGAAACTGAACTGGTTGGTGCCACCCGGAAGCCCCGCCCACACGCCTTGCCCCGCCCACGTCCTCCGCCTACAGCGCTCGGTCCCGCCCCTTCCCCCTCCCCAGGCCCAGTGCCGCTCTGCGCATGCCTTTCCAGCCAAACGCTTCCTAGGAGCCTCCCACTGGAAACAAACTTTCACTCGAACTATGTCGCGACCCTGTCCTCCGGAGCCAGTCAGGTAAAGCCTCCCCAGCCTTGATTGTGGCGGGGCCCAACAGATCGCGGGCCGCGGGCTGCGGGTCGCCGGGGCCTTTTGCTTGCTATTGATTTTGCCGAGCCCTCCCCAACGCACTTCTCCGGCCCAAAACAGAGCCGGGCTTTGCCTAACTTGAGTTAATAACACCCATCATCATGGGTTCACGCCCCTTCTCCAAGGGCAAAGCGTTTCCCCCTGTACAGTCCGCTTACCTGTTCCGCTCAGGCGTCTCCCGAGCTCAGCCTCAGGAACCACGATCCCGCACCAGGCAACCCCGGGTCCAAGTTCCCCTGTGGCTACTTCCAGTCGTGGCCTTGGGCGCCTCAGTTATGTAACCTCTCTGAGCCTGAACAGGATAATGCGCTCACCTCGCCGGGCTGTTGTGATAAAAAGAGAAAAGCAAGGAAAGAGTGTGGAATGAGCTCATGCTCAGAACAGGGGCGGTGACGGCTCCTGATATTAGTGTTTTTATGGTGATTATTCCCAGGACCAGCCCCTAATGTGGACAGGCACGTTTTTGCAGACTTTTGCTTCTGCTGGTCCCTCTGGTCAGTTCTGGGGGCCTCTTAGAGGCCACGCTGAGTGGAGTGCATCCATCCGCACTGGGCGGCCAGTTTCCTCTCCTGGATGTGGGCCTGTGTGCATGGGATGCTGGCAGGAGCCCCCTCCAGTGCCAGCATTCCATGATTCTTTTCAAGCCATTTGGCCGTTTTCTTGCAGTCCTCTGGCCGTTTTTTGCAGCTCTCTATTACCTAACCGTAGTAAGCATCCTGCCACGGAGAAAGAGGCAAAACATAACAAACACCACCTGCAAACAACTGCTCATCTCATTGAGGAGGACGTTTATGATAGTACTCACCATTCATGGGCCACCAGCCGAGTACCAGCCACAGTGTATGGACCATGTTAGTAAATCCTCACAGGTACCTTCAAGCGTGCCACAGATGAGGACAGGAGGGCTCAGAGAAGTCATTCCTAAACACTTTGAGACCAGTCCTGGCTGACGTAAACATCTGATTTTGCCCACTATACAAAACTGCCTTTCCCATAGAAAAATTAAAAGCAAACTGTTACTTTATTGGGCTGTTGTAACAAAGTGCCACACACTGGGCAGCTTACAACAATAGAAATTTCTTCTCCCGCAGTTTTAAAAGCTAAAAGTCCAAAATCAAGGTGTCAGCAGGACCATGCTCCCTCTGAAGGCTCTAGGGGAGGATCCTTCCTGCCTCTTGAGCTTCTGGTGGCATCTGGTGTTCTTCGGCTTCTCGCAGCATCACATCCAGTTTCTGTGTCCGTCTTCACGTGGCTTTCTCTCCTGTGTGTATCTACCTCTGTGTCCTGTCCTCTTCTCCTAAGTTCACCAGTCATTGGACTCAGGGTCCACCCTAAATCCAGGATGATTTCATCTTAAGGCCTCTCTGTGGCATATCCGAATTGCCAGCATCACTACGCTTGTGCTCTGGGGCCATTATTCAGTAAAATAAGGGTAACTTGAACACAAGCACTGCGACACTGCGACAGTAGATCTCGTAACCCAGAAAGGTACTATTATACATACCGTATTTCCCCATGGATAAGACACACTCTTTTTCGAAAAATTTGGGGTCTAAAAACTGGGTGCGTCTTATACAGTGGTTGTAGATTTTTTAACTTGCATTTCCCGCAAGTGATGAGGAGTTGTATGAATTTTATGAATAAAACTTGAGTTCAATAACTTTATGTACTACAATTTTTTTTCAAATTTCAGGGCCCCAAATTAAGGTGCGTATTATACATGGGAGCGTCTTATACATGGGGAAATACGGTAACTGATGGGCAGGGAGCATATACAGCCTAGATAATCTGAAGAAAAGAATGAGTCACGTCCCAGGTGGAATGCAGTGGGACAGTGTGATTTTGTCACACTATTCAGAACAGCGCGCAATTTAAAATGTATAAAGTGTGTTTTTCACGTAATATTTTCAGACTGCAGTTGACCTCAGGTAAACGAAACTGTGGAAAGCGAAACCACAGATAAGGGAGGGGACTATTATGGTGTTTGCCTCATTTCATCTTGCCGACCATCATACAATTTGGGTATTATTCCTTCTGCCATGTTACTGAAAAGTACGCTGACACTCAGAAATGGTAAACCTCAAGATACACAACAAAGCAGAAACACAGGCAGGACAAGGAGCGTTTTACCGTAACTCTGGTGACTAAACGGTGTGGTTTGTTTCCATTTTAGAAACAGTTTGATAGATGATGCTAAGGCCCGCTTACAAAAGTATGACGTTGGGACCAAATATTCTCACTTGTCGTCTAATAAATATTCCATCCTTTTACCATTGTTGGCTAAAGAAGGAAAACTTCATCTGTTGTTCACCCTCCGGTCAGAGAAGGTAGGTGACCAACAGATCCTGCCGTTGAAATCTCAGAACATTTGAAAACCCACAGAATTGTGCCTGAGTCCAGTTGTAGGAAATGTCCAGGATAGGGAAGTGCATAGGAACAGAGTGTGAGGGCAGAGAGGGAGGGGGATTGGGATCGAGTGCTTCATGGGTCGAGTCTCCTTTTGGGGTGATGAAATGTTCTGGAACTAGATGGTGGTAGTAGTTGTAGAGCATTGTAAATGTATTAAATGTCACTGAATTGTTCACTTTAAAATGGTTAATTTTATGTTATATGAATTTCACTTTAATTAAAAAAACAAAAAAAAAACCCTTAAAAAAAAAACCAGCTTATAAAAGTGTTCTGAGGACTCAGTGAAAAAAATCCTGTGAAGCAGCATGCCTGGAATGTGGTGAGCACTCCATAAAAGTTATCTACTGATAGCAGTGCCCTTTTCATTATTATTTTGGTTTTTTGATTTTAAAAATTATTGTATTTATTATTAGTTTCAGGTTTTTAATTCTTTCAGCTTTTTCCCTCCCATCAATGTAAATCTGTTTGTATGTGTATGGTATCTTTTGGGGCCAAGTAGAGAAAAATTAAAGTGGAAGAAGTTCTCTAAGTTCTTTTTTTAAAAAAGGGTTCAAGTAAAAATATTGCTTTTTTGTTGTTGTTTTGGTCTTATGCTCTCCACTTATTACCAACAGTGTTAAGAATGGTCTCTGGTACAAAATACAAGTTTAGTAAATATGGTTGAATGAGTCAATGGTCCCGAAATTGGAATCACACACTGCAGCTCTGTTCTTTTGATACCCAACTAAGACGGTCCCCTGGGGAAGTGTGCTTCCCTGGAGGAAAGGCTGAGCCTACAGATGTGGATGATGTGGCCACAGCTCTCCGGGAAGCCCAGGAGGAAGTGGGGCTGCGTCCTCATCAGGTGGAGGTCATCTGCTGCCTGGTGCCGTCTCTGTTTGATGTAAGGGTTGCAATGGAACTGGGTTTCTTAGACTCTCATGAGCTCCCTGTAGATCCACTGTCTTCAGGATGGCCAAACATGACCTTTGAGGGTCTATACATAAGGGTCAAGAGATCGGTTCTTGCGTGGACTTTGCCCCTCGTGAGCTAAGTGGCCTTGGGCAAGCCCTTTTTCTTGTCTGGGCCCCATTCCCCATCCAGAAATGAAAGGGGAACTATATCAGTGGTTTTCAAACTGGGTACTGTGGACCCTGTAGATACCAAACCCCAGGCCTCCTCAAAATTCCCAGTAGAATCTTTCACTGAAGAGAACCCTACCTTCATTTGCAAGCAGTTGTAATTAGAAATCCCCCCACATGTAAACATGTGTTATGTAAAATAGTTTATGGGTGGGGATGTGCCAAAAAAATGTATGCACTTGACTTGTGTTCATCTTTTGTTATCGGTGTATATTATTACAATTTTAATACAATTTTTTCCTTTCTTGATATGTGTATACATGTTTTTGGCACCTTCTGTATATATTATATACTCATATATGATTTCCCATAAATGGGACTATGCCGCAATTAATACTATGTCACTTTACTTTCCTATTGGTAAGATGGCACATCCTTGTCTATGCTGATAGGGAAAGGTGTCTATTGCATTATTTTTAAAGGGCTGCATAGTACCCCATTATATGGATTTTCTCATAATTGATCTACCCTAAATGTCTATCAATTGAGGCGTGATAACTAGAGTTTGGGGCTATTGCAAATAATGCTTCAGTCTTGTGCAGTAAGTCCTCACTTAACATTGTCGACAGGTTCTGCAAGTTTAAGCGAAATGACGTGTAACAAAACCAATTTTACCGTAGGCAAATTGATAACAAACAAAAGTTAAGTTCCCATAGCATCTCATCTATGTCATAGGAAACGTTATTTGAACACCTGCTGTACTTGTATGTTTTCTCACTGGTAGGAATTTATCATACAGATATACCTTCACCAATGCAATTGCTAAGTCAAAGGGACAACATTCTCATAATGCCAAATTGCCTTTCCAAAAGACTGTACCAACTTATGGCCACAGAATAACCAATTTCAGAGTCATCTCACAGATGCAGCCTCAGGTAGGGCAGAGACACTCCCCATTTCATGAGGGACATAAAGTTTACATCTGCAGCCAGTCCTTCCTCCTCCCTACCCACCTTATGCATTGACTGTTTCAGCCTGTCTTCTTAGCTTGCCGAGGAGTGGCATGACTTTAGCATTTGAAACAATCTCTCTTCACTGCTTAATTTGTGTATTTTGTTTTCTGCTTTTAGAAAGATACACTCATCACACCAGTTGTAGGGTTTGTAGACCACGACTTCCAGGCCCAGCCTAATCCTGATGAGGTTAAGAAGGTGTTCCTGGTACCTCTGGAATATTTCCTGCATCCACAGAACTACCACCAGAACCACCTGACACAGTCTGGTCATCATATTATTATTCATTGCTTTGAGTACACAAACCCCGAAGATGGTGTGACTTACCATATCAAAGGAATAACTGCAAAATTTGCTGTGTTCGTTGCCTTAATTATTTTGGAAAGAAAACCCACCTTTGAGGTTGAATTTAATCTCAACGATCTAATGTCATCCTCTGAAGAGATCTTCCTGAAGCTTCGTAAACAGGCAGCAAGCAAGTTATGATTTATGAGACCAACAAGCAAATAAAGAAGAAGCTTTTGTGTGTGCTTACCCACAGAACAACAATAATGCCAGCGGGTGGATTTTGACAGGTGCGAATATTTTTCCTGCAATCTGGAGGTAAAAACCTCGCCTCATTTCCACTTACTCTCTACTATCTGAAAGAGCAAACGTCTTTCAAAAGTGGAAAATGTGTTTATAATATTGCATAATTTCACCCTCCATACATTAACACTATTTTTCTTACACATGTAAGGAAAAGTATCTGGCACATAGTAGGCACTTAATAAATATGTGGCTTTTATCTTATTTGTAAAGGTAATATCTCTTTCTGTCTGTTGTTACATGTGACAGAAACTTCTGGGCAGCCATCAGAATCTATCCTCCCTTTCTTCCATGGCAGTAGAGTGGAATTTGAGTTCCTAAGCTCCCAGGTAGAAACAGCATTACCCAGAATCCCTTGCAACTAAATGTGGATCTGGAACTCAGTTTAGGCCAATGGGATGTGAGTGAAAGCTGACTTTGCAGGTCATCTCCAATTTAAGAGATCAGCCAGCTTCCCTGGACTCCCTTTCCCCTTTCCATGATCTGCAATGTGGATTTATCTGCAACCCAGCTTAGACCATACAGATGAGGACAATTCCTAGCAGAATGGCAGAACCAAAAGGTGGTAAGAGCTTGCATCTCTGAATGACTGGCACAAAGCAACCGTCCACGCTGGGCTATTCATAGGAACTGTTCCATGTGAGAAAAATAAAATCCTGCTGCCTCTCTGCCACTGTAATTTAGGGTCACTTTGCTTGAGCAGAGCTATAATCCTAAATAATATACCATGACATTTGAAAATGGCTTGATGGTTATTCACCCAAACTTGAGGTACTGCCAGCAGTTAGAATTTGGGATGAGCTAACATTTAATATACGGGCTCTGTGATAGGCACAGGATGCCCTTGGGTCTTGGTGGGGTCTGGCGGTCATCATCCAGAGCAGCTGAAAGGGAGGAATATATGCCTACCAATCAGGAGAAATAATGCTATCTATCTCGGGATGATGACAGCAGGAAAACCCCGATGTCAAGCACATGCCCCTCCTCAAAAGTGACAAAGACAGACATTCTGAATTGCATGCCATGAGGTCTATAGTTTTTGCATGGGCATCTCTATATATCATGCTTTAGAGTTAAACAGCAGCATCTTTGTTTAATTATGGTGTTAGCCATCCTCCTGCACGAGGTCAGGGAAGCAGGTGAATAAAGTGATGTAACCTCAATTGTCTGATGGCAGTTTCCCATCTAACTGACTTATTAGATTTTTAGAAAGCCAAACCATTTCTAGGAAGACTTCATTGCAGCTGAAAATGGGATGCCCACACTAAACCCATGAACCAGCCGTGCAACTGTCCATTGCTGCTGAGTTCATTTTCTGAGAATTGGCAGAGGAAAGTATCCGTTCTGCTGCTTTATACCCATAAATGTGGAAACGGCCCAATCCTGGCTCCCATCACGAAAGCAGATGTTGGGTGAGGCTCCCCACGAATATTGTGTAACTTGGGCCTGCATGAACAGGCCTAAATTGTTTCCGAACAATTATAAAGGCATTTGCACATGTCTATTTACAATCTGACAGCGGTGTGATTGTCCAGTCGATGGTTGACCTCTCCGGCACTGTTTGTGTGCACTCCATAGACCTGCCTGGTTTCTAAGAGAAGTTGGCCCAGTTGAAGACTACAATCTGAATGACACTCATGGGCACCCAGTGTAAGGGGCTGACTATTTAGCGATGGAGATATTGTGCCCTCCCCCCCACCCCTCCCGTTTTTTAAAGGTGATATATTCTATGACATCTATGTTCAGGGTCCTAGCTGAACACCCTTTGATTAAAAGAAACAGAAGTCTGGCAAACCTGGCTCAAATTAAAGAAGTAACTGGCAGGGTACCAATCTCAGGGAATGTGCCAAATCACTGAACAAACCAGGCTGCAGGAGCATAGCAACGGGGAGCTACTTCAACAGCAAAAGGTTGTGAACCTTCACTTCTGCGTCCTGTCATTGTGACAATAGCCATCTGTTTGGGTTGATGGATACAGACGTAGAAAAGCAATAGGAACTCAGGGATTCAGGCCCCGGTTTCTTGGAGACAGCTTCATTTAGCCTAGCTTGGGGCACCTGGCAGGTTTCCAATGACCTGCAGACATGTCCAAGGGCAGGGTCAGAGTTGGGACCACAAATGCACACATCTCTGGCAAGTCCTCTGAGTCATGCGGCTGTGGGTGGGAGCATTTCTGAAGTGGGCTAGGTGGACACTACCAAACCTCTACTCTCTCTAGTCTCTAAAATCAGTCAGTTCTGTTTTCTGTCACCCAGACAGTTCAGCTCTGTCTCCTTGGCATCCCCACAGCCGTGGTAAGTAGCTGGTTAAGAGCTCTGAGCCTAGGGTCAGGATACCTAGATTTGAATCCCAGCTCCCACATCACCCCATTTGGGGACCTGAAGCAAGTGACTCGTTCTCTACAAGCCTCAGTTTCCTCTTCTGTGATGCAGGAGAAATGAACGGTTTTAGGGCTGCGGAGGAGGTTAAAGGAGTTAATACATGTGGCCCCTTAATTTTAAGCATTAAGCATTAATTAAGCATTTTGGGCATGCTTAAGAACAGTGCTTGGGAAATAGTAAGGGCTCAATTATCTAGTAACTAGAACATTACTATAACTGTGGCGTTTATTATAACAATAATAAGAAGCATTGTTATTTCTGTAGTTCAGAACGTCATAATTTCCCTATACAAGAGGTTCCTGAACTTCCTTGGTTCAGAGCAGCTGCCCTGGCATCTCAGTAATTTTTTTCACGCCACCTCTACGCCAAAAGAAACACCTAATCTGTTTGTTATAAACACCATTTCATAAGTGTTGATGTCCTACTAATTTGGTAGTCGATTGAAAATATACCGTATATACACTGAAAGAAAAATACTGTTTTATTTCAATCTGAAGTAACGGCAATTGCTTGCTAATGAGATATGTGCACTCCGTTAGCTGGGCACACCAGTTGGACACACAAGTAAATGCAAGATTCAGATATAGTCATGTGATAGGGATACACACATAGTCAAAGGGAGGAGGACCATCTCCTCAGATTTGGGATGCAGGGACGAAATTCCCAGGAGGTGGTGGCTGAGCTGAGACTTGAGGGATGAGGAGACACTACCCCAGGTAAGCAGGATGGGAGTGGCGGTGATGGGGACTCACATGTATTAAGCACCTACTATATACCTGCTTCTTCACTTGGATTATTTTATTTCACCCTCACAACAAATCTCTGCAGTGAGTACTATCATTATTCTCATTTTTAGATAGGAAAGTTTGAGGATCAGAGAAGTTAAACATTTGCCCATGGTCACACAGTTTGTACATGGGAGAGCCAATATCCAAGCCCACATGTATGAATTTCAAAGCTCATCTCTTTCTGCTATACTCACTCCAAGATGAGGCTCATTTCATAGGGAGAGAGGCAAGAATAGAAGGTTAAGCTTATGTTTCCCTTGAATCACCACAGGTAAAAGGGAAAGCGATACAAACTTAATAAATTAAAGAGAGAGCAGAGCTTGTTATTCCCTTCAGCATGTCCGCCAGCTCATTCCGCTGACATTGCCCACAGTGAAATGAGTAATTAGCTAGGTGATTTTAATTAAAATGGAACTTACCAATTAATAAATGAAAGGGCTGGCATACTTGCTAATTTAACAACTCTGTTCATGGTGCCAGCTTTCCATTTAAAGAACTGAGATGGGAAAGCATTCCTCTATCCCTTCAATAAGACGATTAAATATAATTCAAGTCTTTTTTGTTTGTTTGTTTCCAGTTGGTTTCTTATCTGAGAATCACATAGTTTTGATAAAACTGCTGGGGTGATCATCCCCTAGCCCAGCTGTCTTAGATGTGGCGTACCTGGGGTCCCTGATCATAGGGTCTGTGTGTATCCTCCATCCAGAATTCTTGATTGCCCCCCCATCACCACTCAGCCACCTCCCATGGCTGAACACTACTCAGATTTTAAGAGTCAATTCCTCTGTGCCCACTCTTCAACCACCCCACTTTACAGCACGGACACTGCTTTATTGCACCCCTTTACATATAAATATATGTATAGCTTTGTGCTTATTCTGGCCATGACCCTGGAAGGGACAGATGCACATACCGTGAGACCCCTCAGTCTGACTTCCCCTGGCCTCTGGTGAATGGACCCGAGATCGGTGACCAACTCAAAAGTAGCAGCCATTCCCCCATGGCTACAGCATAACAACCAGTTTGTGCTTCTTAATCCTGTGGCCTTTTTTTACCCCGACCTCAACCCCCTCCCATCTATCACCCCAACAAATCTAGTACCAATATGACACCATACACAGTTACTACAATATTACTGACTATATTCCTTAAGGGTAGCATTTAATTTAATGGTCATTAGTCTATAACTTGTGTGGTCTACTTAAATAACTGAGCTAAGTCTATTGGATTTTCCAAAGAATTTGAACTATGCCAAAAGATAATATACGATGTCTGACAATTAAGTTCACGAACTTGCCACCGTGCTTACATTGGCAGCACTGTACAAACAGCTCTGTAAGGTTTCCTGACCTTGGTATATCAGTGTCTCACAGCTGTGTTCCTGTCGATGTGTGGCGGTGTCTTGCTGAGTGGCGTTCATTTTTTTTATTGTTGCCTGTTTTTGTGTGCCCTCGCGAGAATGTCTGAGCTTGATTTGGAGTAAAAAACAAACATT